TCACTTTCAGGCAAAAAAGTAAGCGAGATCACTTTTAGACATTGTGGTTTTTTAATTTGCCACATATCAGTTTATTTGCCATCATTTTCCTACTGTATATATTTAATCTTTCTAAGTTGTCTTTTTTTTTAATTATTTAAAAGCCATTTAGTGTTATTATACACTGTACAAAATTAGACATGTCATTTTCCTGGGTTACTAATATGACATGAATACAGCCCGCAAGCACATTTCGGCTTAGCAGCCGTCTCGGCTTGTAGATAGAGAGGAATAAAAGAAGTCTGACTTCTAGGGAACCCAAGTGCTTACACCACTCCTGCAAGAAGCAGAGTCTTAAGTTATCTGCACGCTCTGGAAAATTTTATTCATAGCTCTGAAATGAAGATATATTTTTGTTACAACATAACCCAGAATGACTTACAATTATTATAATAGAGAATTATAATACTTATCCTTTCCTTGCCCTCATAATTCTAATTACTACAGCATTTTGAAGTTACTGAAGAGATTAACATTATAGAAACATCTGAATAAGGAAAAAGTTGTGGTTTCTGACTACTACGTTGTACTTCTGATTCTACTCTGCCTTCTTTTTTATTTTTAATCAAATAAAATCATTTCCTTACCTATACTTAAGATATATCAAGTATTTTATCCAACTCTAGTGAGGGATTTCTGAGGTATTTCAGGGTGTGTTTGTATCACGAACTTCTTGACTAGAAGTACATACCTCTGGAAGAATGCAGTTTCTCCTCAATACCTATTGGACATTAGAATTAAAGTATAATAAAAGAGGGATATCTATTGCCTTCAAAATTCTCTTGGATAAAAGAAACATTACAAGAAAACACAACAATTGAAAGAGACACATGCAATAAACAGCAGCACTCGCAAGGATTCCCACAAGCAGTATTTCAACAATGGAATCGGATGCCTAACTAGAGGCATTTTCCTGCAGAGCTCCCACAGGCGACTATTGCTTACGAATTCACAACTCCAGTCCTAGAAAGAGTAATCACAAAGTAGTTCCTTGAGGAAAGCAGCCTAAAATAGTCTGAACACTCCGGCAGCAGGGCAGAAAGCTATGGAAAGTTCAGGTTTTTGAAGGCTGTAGAAACCACGGAATCTTTTAAATTCACCTACTATATGTGATCTTTTTTGAACTTTCCAGGAGAGGTATACATTCAGAAACATAATTGCTACACATCCCACAATCACAGAATAGACGAGGCTGGAAGGGACCTCTGGGGGTAATCTTATCCAAGCTCCTGCTCAAGCAGGGCCACCTAAAGCCTCTTGCTGAGGACCATGTCCAGATGGCTTTAGAGTATCTCCAAGGATGGAGATTCCACCATCTCCCTGAGCAACCTATAAGTGATCTTATACATGGAATTACCAGCTAAGAATTATTTCAGCAAAATTCTTTATGCAATTGGTTTTCAAGCCATTAACTACAATGTGCTTGACAGAAGTACAGCACCACATCCATGAAGCACACAAGCACAAGATGTTGAAATTTGCTACCTTGTGATCCCGCTAAAAGAAATCCATTATTGACAATATGTCCATACACAAAGTACAACTCTGAGCAGAGCGTGCAAAGCAAAACAGATTAGTGCTTTCTTTGGCATAGCGCATAGCTAACAGCATTACAGGAAAATATCTACGGGCAAGATAAAGAGGCGTGCTTAACTAGAATACCTGCACTAGAAGCACTTCAATTTACATATTCTTGTCTTATTTACCACCTTACATATAATCCTAGCTTATCTTTCACTGGATTTGGCTAAACCATTAGGATATATGACACATACTATTTAATCCACATGACGATGCTTCAAGTTGAACTAGCATAGATAAAATTAAGTATCACTCTCCAACACTGATTTCTGGCATCAGGCGATATCTTGATTCAGCACATTACTTGAAACTAAGAAACATGCCTTGTGAGAATCATCATGCAAAAGGCTTCAAGGTTATACATTTAAAGACCTATTCTTAACTTGGTACTGGTGCTTCTGGTTTTCAGTCAGGGCCATACAACTTTTAATTCTTGTGCTTTTCTCTTCAAAAGGTACCTAGCAGAGGACATAAGCACTACTTCTTACACCTAGGGCTCATGCAAACTGTTTAAATTGACAGCTGCAACTAAGCACACCAATTGACTGCTCCATGTACACATACAGTCTCAAAGGCAGTAACATAGTGAGGAAGAACAAACAGGAGGCACACAAGTTACTGACAGAATAATTATTTCAGTGAGTGTAACGTTAGCAATTCTTTTAACCTTTACCTTAAAATATCTGACACTGTCAAAAAGGACAGATTGTAAGGCTAACTTTGAGACTAGGAAAGATCTCCCCTGAACAAAGGGCACAAGAGATACCACGATATGTTTGAACAGAGATAATGACTCCTTGGTTAGGGAATAGGGGTAATTTTCAAAGCTCAACATAAATGAAAAAAAGTAATCAAGTGACAGCTTGAATGTAAAAGCCTGATTTTTTTTTTTTTTTCCAGTTTGATTTCTGAAACACAGGAATGCATTTGCTCCTTGTTTAAGTAACTCAAATTCTAGCAAACATCGTATTGCATGTGATCATCCCCGGGGAAAAAGCAAACAAAAAACCCACCGTTTTTTTAATATTGATAATTGTACTTTGTGGGAGTCACCCATTCTGTGTTACCAGAATACGTAACAATTAAGCCTTCTAGTGCACCTTTTATAAAGAGAAGCCAATATGCAGTAATTGTATCAAAGCACAAACACGGGGAAAGAACGAGTGTCCACCCAATTCTAAACCTCTCTTTTTTTTAAGGTGAGGTATGTATGCACTGCAAGAGAATACGCTGTGGCTGTTACAGGGTTGGTGACACCAGGGAGTGAAGCTCGTTTTGATAATTTTTCAGTTTGAATTTGGACGCTTTCAAAGACTTCCTTCCAGAAAATTACAGCGTTACATTAAAAGGTTTTGTCTTTGCTCAATCCTCCCTCTAGTACACAAAAAAAAAAATAAATTCCCAAAGCGAAATAGTTTTGAAGGCCAAACGCCGACCCGCAAAGCAGAGGTGGTGTAACACCTGCGATAAGCGGTAGGGCCCGGCTGCGTACCAGAGGGCTACTGAATCCTATCTCGGGGGGCACTAATGCCCCTTCGCCACAAAGTCAATACTCGGTGATCCCCCCGCACAATAACCCATGCAATCAGTGAGCTATTACGCTTTTTTTTTTTCTTTTTGATAGGTGCTTTACCTCACAGTTGAGAGCACAAGAGTTACTCGAACCTGCACCCCGGGATGGGCGGACAAGCCTCCCCGGGGCTGGCCGGAGGAGGGCCGGGGAGGCGGCTGGTTGGGGCACCACTCGCTTATTTCGTGGTTTTAAAGAGCGTAAAGGCCGCGGGACGCCGCGAACGGGCGCCAGTGCCGGTGGCTCCGTGAGGAGGCGGCTGC